CTTCCTTCACTAAACATCTGGGTTTTGTTAGAAAACACTGTGAAGTGATTTTCCAAAACCTTTGACATGCATTCTGCTCAATAGATCCCAAAAGCTGAGGAAGGAGAGCTTCAAACCAAGTAACAGTTGTTATTTATTAAGCCCTACTAATAAAATCAGCCTAACCATTTTCTTTTGTCTAACCATTCCTTATTATTCGCAGGGGAAAGGGACTTAGCACGTTAAGACAATGTGCATTTGTAGAAGAAAAGGACACTCTACATCGAGGAAACTATTATTCAAGCCGACTCAGTCTGATGAGCCAGGAAAAAGCTGCCTCTGCACAAGTTGGGACTCTCAAGATACCTATGTGATTAAGTTCCTTCAGAACAAATTAGTGCTCCGTGAACTGATTACACCATAAATAAGCCCAACAGGGAAGAGAAAAGCCACTGACAGACACAGTACGCTCCTGACCACAGCTGAGCTCTACAGCTCTCATCCAGAACGAACACCAAAAAAACTGTCAGTGCCAAAAGGATTTCTGGTCTTTTTACTCAAAATTCACAAAGTATGTCACAGCGGATGCAACAGCTACCGTAGATAACTAATCACAAGAATCCTACACTTTCATTTTCTCTCATCACTCAAAACACAAATTGCAGCTCTCTCCCCGACCTAATAATTATTCGTATGGCTGCATTCTGTTCTTCTACAGTAGCAGCATGAAACTTGATTCGAGCTGCAGGAACCCAGCCAGTGACTACACAAGCTGCTGTTGTGATAGCACAAAGCAGAAGCCAACTCGGCAGGTAATTGGACTTGAAAGATCTTCCCCAGTCAGCTTGAAATAGTAATTTCATAGGGGAGAAAATAGGTTGCCTTTATCTACCACAGGTTACCAAAGGAAAACTCTGATCCCAAGAACAGCAGACATAATAAATACCTTTTTAGGGTGGTATGTCTTGGTATTAAAGGTGGTGTGTTTTTTTTTTTTTTTTTACTCTGCAGCAATTCAAAAGACATTTGCAACCTTTTATCAAGTCAGTATTAAGAATGCAAGAGCTTAGGCATCAAAGCGCAACGTTCACTTGTTAGAAAGGAGTACTTCTAGGGCTTGCTAGCTATATTCTCTTGCCACTGTCTCAGTACTTCGAAAGGTCTCAAATACCATACATGCTGTTACAGAATTCATTCATCCTTCCAGAGTAATCCTAGGGAATCCTGGAGGGCTAATGTCAACAATTCACACTTCCTAATGCCATACTTCAACCAACTCAAATGCATGTGAAGCTCCTTCATTTGTCTAACCTTTACACCCATACAAGTAATTCCAAAGCATTAGAAATCAATAAAGAAATCTAAATGCATACATATCTAGAGTCACGGGGGATTACAGGACTTGAGCATCCAGTACCACCAGTAACCTCATTGCTAAAGCCAGCTGCTAGCAGCCCACAGAGTACTGGGGGAGTTCTCTCCCACCGTTCCACAAAAGGAACTCCAACTAACAGCCTCCGACAGAGAGTTAGCGATGGCTATGAAGAGGAGGAAACAGGAATGAAGATCCACCTGTGTTTGCACAGGGGGAAAGCATTAACCTAACGGCCCACTGAACCAAGAGACTGGATGCGTACAGGAAGAAGGAACATTTGTGCTTGGCAGAAACTGGGATCGTAGTTTTATTTAGACAGGACATGTTGTTCACCTACTTAAGATCTGTAACAAAGATATTCTGTCCTCAAATACTATTCTACAGCAATATTAAGCAGGTTCTGTTTTCAATTATCCCTTTCCCTGTCAGACATGCATACCCTAGACAAAAAAAAACCCACAAAACTCCAAAATACAAAAAAATTCTTAAAACCCCTCCCATATCCCCTCAAAAAATCTCTAGTTTAGCATCCCATCATTCCCAGGTGATTATTCTGAAAACTTACAATCCCCCTCTCATTTGAAGTTCAGCGCTCACTGGAAGATTTCTGCACAAGTAAAGCTTGTGATCATCTCAGACACCAGCAGACCTAGACTTGGGTTCCAGAGCGCTAGTTATTGTGCACTAAAACAACAGTTAAGACAACTCAACCAAACAAAACAAACATTACAACTAACTTTTGATTTTGTTAAATAGCTCTAATAGTTTGACAATAAAAATCGGCAATCCTAACTATGTCATGATGGGCTAGTAGCAAGCTTACACCTAAGAGTTTGGTAGTCAGAGGAAGGTTGTCATACGATCATGACTGATAACAGTCTTCCTCTTCATCATGAGACCGAAGCCAACGCAAGGAATGGCCTCTCCTCTGACTCGATGATTTTGAAACAAACTCTAGCGTAGCAAAAGAGATTATTAAAATCTTGAGTAAGGTTCGTACACAGTTAATGGAAAGTCTCACACCTCCCCCTCCCCCAGACATGTACACACAGACAAACAAGAGACAGCAGAAGAGTTTTAAGCTTCCTTTCTTACAGCAATATTAATTTTGACAATGCTGGAAAAGTCTGTCTCAACCAAATGGTCTGAGTTTTGTAAAACAGGGGACACTAGAAAATTCCCTGAATGGTACCTAAGCATAGAGTTAATACAACAGGTTTTAAAGTCAAGTGCATAATGTTGAAGAGATGCATGCATATTTTAACACTACTCTGAAAAAACTGGAGACTTATTACCCATGCAGTGCTTTCCCCCCCTGCATATACCCTCAGAAGGCCAAATTATTGTAAATTTTCTTCTGCACCTCCAAAAGGCAGAGTGGCAAAAACCAGGCACTCCAAGGGAAAAAACAAAAGGCACTGATTCATATGCAATTAGCTCAGCTAAATTAACTACTGAAACCATTGCTACTCCAGCTGTCCTTGACACCTGCATAGCAGGGACACTGGAACATGACAAGCATCTTCTTACGATCTATGGCAGTTTTCAGGCTGACACGCTAACTTAAAATGGGCAACAGCTACAGTTCTTGAGCTGCTGCATTAATGCAATTAGCACAAAACCAGCTCTGCACCTCATTCAAGCATCCCTGCCCCAGTACACTGAGACAAAACAAATGGAGACAGTCTGTGCTTTACCCACCTCTACTAAATCCACCACCCAAAAAGCATCAGTACTTTGAAAATAACACATTTCTTTCTACTCAAAGATTCAGTTTACAGCAACAAACAAGCAAAGCAAAACAGAGAACTGGTATCTGAAAAGTTAAAAAGAAGGAAGTGAAGGGAAGAAACTTGTTAATACCCTGTGCAGCACGAGTTCCCACTGTTTCATCTTCCTTAAATAAGAGTTAGACTGAAGGACTGAGCACGGAATGAAACCTTTGCGGTCAAGCTGCATGTTATTTTCTAAGAACAAAGCAGCTCCCTCTTTTCTCTATTAGTCTATGTTTCTGGAATCATTCACAGAATTTGTATGCAGAAGCCATTCCTAGTAAAACCCATTTAGGCTCTGGTGTTTAAGATGTCAGAAAAGCCTACGAAAGCACCTTACAATGTAAACATCCTTCCCGTGCATCCGAAAGAGCACTAACTGAAATCCACCGCATCACTGTTCTGGCACACATCCACCAGCCTTGCCCCAGACAACAGTATAAACAGACAAAAGCTCTTTTATAAGGGTTCAGAGAAAGTACAAAAGAATACATGCAACCTGAAATATCTACCTGAACCCAAATCCTCAAAGGAGGGACTTCAATGTCTCAGACCCTATGCTATCTTTATAAGGACACTAATTTGTACAGCACATATTTTATCTGCACTACAATAACAACGCAGATGAACATTAACCAGATACCTTGTCGTGTCTGCCAGGTGTTTAAACATTTTGCAACTCAAATGCTGAAATACTATCTGCAGTCCAAATACTTAAGATTATCCAGTGAGAACATGTGTATATTTCCATCAGCTATGTAATACACTTTTTTTTTTCCATTTGTTACATTTTAAGCAACAGACCAGAGTTACCAAGGTACAAACTTATACTACCAGCCTTCTATTTTGAAGGTTGACTTCATAAGGAAGATCTAACGCTTTCATTCTGAGAATACAAACACTGAAAAATATTTACAGAAACTTTTAATCCAAAAGACTACATATTTATCTGCACTATGCAGGCCCTATACAATCTTAAAAAAACAAAATCTGAGATTGTATATTTTGATAAATTTAGGTGTATACTGCGTATGGTACGTACTGTAAAAGAAAACCTAACACTATGCTATGTATTAAACAATATTTTTCTCTCGGTCCAAGTTAGACAACACACTTCTGAGAACATTGTATGTTCTCTCCCTCCCCCAATTTATATTTCAGTAAAAGCGATGTACATCTCTTACAAACAATCCATTTTTGTGAGCGTCACCACAGAACTCCCCCTCCAGTTTGGCCAGAACTCTAGTCACTTTTTCCTTCTAGGAAAAAGGGCTTGAGAGAAGAGATGACTTTCCTCAGGTTGAAATATGCTCCACCACCAGAACTCTGACCCAGACAGTTCTATACATTAATATATTACCATGTTACTGTATGTACTTTACTGCTTTTCCTCCTTCACCTACACTCGAGTTCAAGTGAAAAACATATAAAATACCATTATTAGCAACAAAAATGAAAGGCCCAGAGGGATCACTCAGTTTTTTATACTATGTCAGTTATCTTCCTGAAGAGGAAAGAGACATACCAATCTTACGCTCCAGTGAGAACGAAATTAAAATACTTCTTGCATTTGCATCACGAGACTGCTCTATGGCTCAGATAAAACCGTCAGCATTGACAAAGTCAGCTTTCTCAATAGAGGCAGAAAGGTCACAGAATCTCACACCTGAGGTTAAAGACTATTTTAAACAGGTAAATGGATTAAAACTAAAGATATATACCCCCTAGAAAGAAAATCCACTGCAGGCTTTTAATTAAAACAAATATATGACTACCATAGAATGAACTGGCAGCAAGTTAAATCAGCAGTAACTCACGAGTTGTTCTCCACCCAGGATGATCAGAAAAATGGGATTTGCCTCACTGTCACATACCTTTGATGCTTGGGGAGTAGAAATCACATGAACAGTGCTGGGCTTAACTCCGTTTGCCTTAGGTCGCTTATAAAGGGCAAATCTGCTTTTCCTGCGTCCTCTGTCACCATTGGGGAGGGATCCATTATACCTAGAAATAAACAAAAAAAAAATTTGGCATAAAAGACCACCAATCTGGAATATGGTAAAGAGCAGCAGCAATTTGGTCACAATATCCTGACAGGCAAAACCAAAAAAGCAACAACCGTGGTAAATTTTGTTTCCTGAGCATTCAAACATTCTTTCTCTATCAACGGTTGAAATTTTATTCATCATTAACAAGGTCATCAACTACAAATAAAATACTGAGTTGTTCAGTCACAGAAATACTTCTCCACCTCTAGAATTAAAGGAATCTGGAAGAACAGAGGTGACGTGGAAAAAGACAGAATTAAAGGACAAGTCAAATTAAGCGAAAGGGAATTTTACTCTACTCATACAGGGTTTTTTCCTTAGTTGTTTTTTTCCTTTCTTTTTTTTTTTCTTTAAACTCTAATCCGAAAGGCTTCATCTATTATTAAAGAAAGAGATGCAAGTGTTTTTAATTTATGTGAATCTCTCCAAAGACTCACTAATGACTTCCTTTGTCAGGTGTAACACAGTAGCCTTCAACAATTCTTTCATCTCTCTGAGGACAGAGACCCAATGGATTAATTATTCAGACAACTCTTAAGCCTCAAGGGGATAAAGCTCCTTCCCCAGGGAAGGGATCAACTGGAAATTTCTTTGCAATGCATAAGCACGGAATTCATCACCACCCCACCTGAAGATTTACGACAGCACTGTCACCTGTAACATTCTCAGTAACTCTCAACTGGTCTATGGAGATCTCTCAGGGCTTTACTTTACTGCAGAGATTCCTCTTTCATTCCTGATCCTCACAGACTTCAGACTTTTGCCTGAAGAATGACAGACGTTATTCCACTTATAAAAATCTCAGCTGCCTTACTGGTGAGGCCTATTTTATACTGATCACACAGATCCCTCTCCTAGAGTCTTTCTGATTAAAAGCTAACATCACAGTCAGGAAAGGAAACTGGAAAGGCAAAGAAGTTTAAGGTGACTAACTCCCTGCAAAGCCAAAAAGGTTAAAAAAAAAGTTAGGAGATCTCATTATCTGTTTAGAGATCCACTTAGAAGTAGTTCACCTCTACATGCACCACACCATCTGCAGATTAAAAATCGTTTGTTTGTAGCCCTGGAGAAGGCAAATAGTCACTCGCTGTTCTATGACAACTGCTGAGGAGGAAAAGCAACGCAGTAAGCCAGAATCTTTTTTTTTTTTCCTTTCTTATTATTACATTCTGTGTATGTAACTATCTTGTGTAACACAAGAATGCACTTGGAGAGCCTCGTATCCTTTTGCAAACAAATGGCATACGGACAGCGGATGGCAGCGTGCGGTCTCGCTCTGGATGGAGCACGGCCCTGCAGAAGGCTCACTGCTTGCTTCAGGTGAGGAGGACCTGGTGTCACAGGAAAACAGTTTAAAACTTCACATGCACAACATCTAAACGGCAGTGAGCTGAATCGCAGACTGCTAAATGTTTGCGAGCACAAGCAAGAAGAGATTTAAGCCTGAAAGAATCTCAAATTTAAGTTCTCTAGAATGTAAAACCAGACTTTTTTTTTAATGGACTTTTAATACAAGAAGGACATGGAGCTGCTGGAGCAAGTCCAGAGGAGGGCCACGAAGATGATGTGACGGCTGGAGCACCTCTGCTATGAAGACAGGCTGAGAGAGTTGGGGCTGTTCAGCTTGGAGAAGAGAAGGCTCTGGGGTGATCTTATTTCAGCCTTCCAGTACTTAAAGGGGGCCTACAGGAAAGCTGGAGAGGAACTTTTTACAAGGGCGTGTAGTGATAGGACAAGGGGTGATAGCTTTAAATTGAAAGAGGGCAGATTTAGATTAGATATAAGGAAGACATTTTTCACTCAGAGGGTGGTGAGGCACTGGAACAGGTTGCCCAGAGAAGCTGTAGATGCCCCATCCCTGGCAGTGTTCAAGGTCAGGCTGGATGAGGCTTTGGACAACCTGCTATAGTGTGGAAGGTGTTCCTGCCTATGGCAGGGGGGTTGGAACTAGATGATCTTTGTGGTCCCTTCCAACTCTAAGCATTCTAGGATTCCATGATTCCATGCTAGAGACACATAACAAGAACTTTCCAGCTGGGCTACAATTGAATTTGTTCTCTCACTGCCATTTTTATAGGGAAGACTACTGTATCTTTCTGGAACATTACAAGGGACTCCCCAGCACAGCAGAAAAACAACAGCAGTAAATCACTATTATTTCACGCCAGGCCTACTTGTATCTGGAAACTTGTTATTAACCCTAGACAAGAAAAGAGAAGCACTCAGTTAACACAGCAGATCCTCGTCACAAGAGACCAATTCCTAGAAAGATACATCAATACAATCCACAGGAAACTTAAACACCAGCCCTTAAAATAGGAATGATTTGATTCTCCAGCTTGAATCTTCCTAGATATATACACACGCTTGCTTTCAAAGACACTGTATTACCGTGAATATGCCAGCAAGTTTTAACTTGCCTGAAAACACCACTCTTTCTACAAGTATTTTTATCTGAAAACCTGAGAAAGCAGTAACTCCTTCACAAATAACATATAACTAGCATCATCACTAGCTTTATATTCTGTAATTAATTTTTTTTTGTATTTGTGTAACTAAATAGTACTGAATTTAAACAGTTCCACTGACAGTTAAAACCAGGCTAGTGGGGTTATTTTATTTGTTTTTTCTCATGTTCACAAAACAATTGTAACTGGGAAAGGCTACTTGAAATCATTTCAAGTCTCTGTGGGATTTAATAATCTTTTTTAAAAGAAGGCACTCAAGGTTAAAAGGCCTTTTGGAAACTTTAAATAGAAAGGAAATAAAAGCAAAGTGAAAGTTTAATTCATTCATCATGATTAGCACTGACAAGTTTTCACAGAGGTTTTCTTCGTGCCAATTTCTAAATTCCGTTTGCACAAGAGGGCAGGAGGAATTAAGTGGTAGTTTTACTATTTGTTATGCTTTAATTATAGACCTGCAAGTTTTATTCTGAACTGATACTGGTAAAAAGAGCTAGGACAATTAGTAGGCATACTGAGTCTCAGAGAACTTGCCTCTCTCCTCTCTACAGCCAGAAGACACCTTCATTTTTTTCTAGGCCAGGACTCTTGACTTGTTAACCACAAACCAGCCCTCCCCGTGGCACCTGAACCACACCTTTCCTTGCCACTACCTGAACAATCCACATACCAAACAGATATTAACGCCATGGCATCTCGTCAGCCACAACAGGACCAGCACCCACCCACTCACCCAGCGCCTCTGTCCTGGGAAGCGTGCAACTAAGACTGCTCCTGAGGCAGATGACCCACCTTGGCTTCTTGGCAAGTCCTTGCCTTTCTCAACTGAGCTGTCCCACAGGACACAGTGGGTTTCGGTATTCTGAAGGTGGAATACAGGCATAGAATCAGAGAATGGTTTGGGTTGGAAGGGACCTTCAAGATCATCTAGTTCCAACCCCTCTGCCATGGGCAGGGACACCCTCCACTATACCAGGTTGCTCAAAGCCTCATCCTTGAACACTTCCAGGGACGGGGCCTTGAACGCGTCCAGGGATGGGGCAGTCACAACTTCTCTGGGCAACCTGGTCCAGTGCCTCGCAACCCTCAGAAGGAAGAAATTCTTCCTTAGATCTAATAGAAATCTCTCCTCTTTTAGTTTAAAGCCATCACCCCTTATCTTGTCATTGCACACCTTTGTTCACAGCCCCTCTCCAGCTTTCTTGTAGCCCCTTCAGGTACTGGAAGGCTGCTGGAAGGTCTCCCCGGAGCCTTCTCTTCTCCAGGCTGAACAGCCCCAACTCTCTCAGCGTGTCTTCATAGGAGAGGTGTTCCAGCCCTCAGATCATCCACAATTTGCTAAGTCAGCCCTTTAAGCACTGGCACAGGGAGCTATATCAAGACAAGCAGCCCTCTCCTATCCTGCACTTTTCTCAGCTGTTCTACTGAGCAATGCCTGCGTGAGCAACAACTGCCGCCTCCTGGGCAGCAGCAGGATGGAACTGCACAGGAAGAGAAGGGTCAAGAACTAAGGCCACAAATTTCCCATCACAGAACATTATGAGATTTCCCCATAGCCAACAGGAGCTTCATAAACAGAACACCAGCTCCTTGTTGAACCCTCTCGCAACCCCTCTTCCACAAGCATCAGCCCATTTCCCTTCCCTCTGCGCCCTTCCAATAGCTCCAGAAGCCTGATCCACCTTAGGGACCAGCGCATTAGCATGCCAACTTCTCATCCCACAAGACCAGCACTACCAAAACCAACCTGCAGCCGAAACCCTCCATGCCACCAAAAAGCCTGGAACAAACATTGTTTCCAACTAATAAAACAAACTAGGAGAAATTAAATTTCAGAGACAGAATGACCGTTCCTGAGATTGTCCCACTCCCATGCACATCTATGGAGCACTTCTGAAGTTCTCCAGATGTTCCAAAACATCACACCAACATATGTGGTAAGACCAGTCCTATACATTTTTCCAAATGCTTCTCAGTGACAGCGATACTGGGACAGTAGCATTATGAAACCTTGTGAGATAATTATCTCTGTTGATAGCACTATTCCTTGCAAATAAGGGAGTGGTGCTGGCATAGGCTATGGGCATCGTAATTATCAAAGCCAGTTTCCTACAGATTTACATCAAACAGTTGAGGACTCTGGTATATAATGAAATGCAAACTCCAATTAAGTTTTTCCCATGGTTTGGATATGTAATGAAAGCCTCTCCTCTGCGTGGATTCATGGTTGTCTGGAGAGCAAGACCACACACGCTCTTCTCCCACAGTCCAAACACTGTGGCAAGTTCCTACTTTCTACAAGTCTTGTAGGAACCTACTTGACTACTTCAGAGATCATCAACGAGTTCTGAATCATTTGTGGGACAGCTTGTTACTCAAGCTTTTTTTGTTTTATTTTTTTTAAAAGGAATTAGGCTTAGCCAGTGACAAAGAGTAAACAAGATCTCTTTTACTTAGGACAGGAGCTCTAAAAATCTTGACCTGCACCTCA